CGGGCCCGGCGCGCGCACCGGGTGGGCCAGCGTGACGGGCAGCGCGTCGTTGTGCTGCACCAGGGACGCGTGCTGGTAGTGCAGCACCAGCTCCTTCAGGGACGCGTACAGGTTGTAGGGCTCCGCGAAGCCGAAGCCCGTGGCCGTGCGGTAGATGACGCAGTGCTTGGTGTCGCCGTCCACCCTGCGGGCCGGACGCGGGGTCAGCGGGCAGGCGCGGCCCCGCGGGCAGGGGCCGGAGGGCGGGGCCGGGGCCTGCCCGGGACACTCACACGACCGAGCATGCGTAGCAGCCGCGCTGGCTGCTCTCCCGGATGAGGAAGGTCCCGTCGCGCTTGCCGCTCAGCATCTCCTCGGCCTGCATGCGGTTGATGCTGCCCACGTACCAGGTGCGCTCCTCGTGGTGCGGCAGGTCCTCCTCGTCCTCCACCAGCGAGTACTGGCTGCGGGAGGCAGGCAGGGCCTTGGCCACGCGCCCGCCCCCCGCCCCGCCGACCCCTGTCCCAGCCCGCTCACTCCTCTGTCTCATTCTTGATTCCCAGCCACTCGTTGATCTTCTTCTGCCGGGCGCCTTTCTGGGTCAGCCACCTGGGAGGGAGGAGGGTGAGGCGTGCCCACCCACAGAGGCCGGGCCGCAGGGCAGGGGAGAGGCTGCGGCCCGGAGGCCACAGTCGGAGTCCCTGGCCCGGGCGGAGGTGGCTTGGTTGCACCCAGCTCTGCCCCAGCCTTGGCTACTCTGTGACAGACCCCCCCTCCCCCCGCCCGTGGCAGCAGGTCAGCCAGGGGGGTTGCAGCCAGCAGCGGCTGTTCCCGTGCCTCAGTTTCCCTGGTGGTTAAAGAAACTTCACAAAGGACTCAACCAGCTAAGTGAAAAGGCAGACCAGAGCGGGTGGGCCCAGGGGGCAGTGCGCCAGCACCATCCCTCCGCCCCCCCCCCCTGTCCCGCCGCTCACACGAGGTACTGGTCCCGGATCTTCCGCAGCTGCATGAGGTCTGGCTTGAGGCTGTTCATGCGCTTGTCTGTCTCGCGGTTCTGGGCGGCCTGAGCCCGGAGGTCCTGCTCCAGCTTCGTGCGGCTCTCATGAATCTCAGCGATGCGAGATTTGAGCCTTTCTGAATTGAGGAGGATCCTGGGAGCAGGGCAAGTGCGGGCTTTTCCAGAACCCTCTCTGGGCGGGAGCCTCAGCTCAGTGACCTCTGCTGAATTTCTACTCACCCTTCAAGGCCCATGTCCTCCCCCACAACCCTGGCTGGACTCCTCCCCACCTCTTCTGTGGCAGCAGGTCAGGTAGGGTGGACGGGTGGGGGGTGGCTCACCTCTGCATCTCCTTCTCGTTGCCTTCCCTCCGGAAGTGCTCCAGGTACTCCTTGCTGTATTTCTCCTGAGTCTGGCCCTGTTCCTCAAAGATCTTGATGGTCTCATTGAAGGCTTCGATCGCCGTGCGCTTCATCTGCAGCTCCTGCAGAGAGGAGTGAGGACGGGTGTCCTTTCTCCCGAGACTCCCCCAGAACCCACTCGAAGGGTGGAAGGCAGATTCCAAGTCTTGACCAGGGGACACTCACAACACACAGAACAAACTCCTACTCTGTCATCAACACTCAATTCCCAGACCCCTTCCCTCCAGAGGCTCCTTGCTAACCAAACGGTCTTTCTATCACTGTGGGGAACGTGGGCCCACGGGCTCCGGCCGTGAAAGAGTTCTGGTTTCTCTGCATCATGATGCGGGGAACCTCAGTATTTGTCCCTGTGAGGAGGTGCTGTGCAGAGGGTGTGCCTGGCTGGCCCTGGCCTGGGTGGGTTCTGAACATCAGCAGGTGTGCAACAGCCACTTGGGCCGCAGTTCCCAGCAAGCACTGGCTCTAAGCAGCAAACTAACAGTTACTGCGTGGCCGGGCGCCTGGGTTTTCTGAGCAGCCTGGGTGCAGAGCCAGCTGTGACCTGCAGCTGGAGTGGACACACTCTCCTGGCTTCAGCCCCTCCAGCCTCAGTTTCTTCAGTACCTGGGAGGTCCGTGTGTATTCCTCGTACAGCTGGTCGTACTCTCGGCTCTTGTCCTGGTACTGCTGGTGGTAGACCTTCAGCTGGGCACCCACCGCCTCCACGCTGTCCTCCTTGACCACCTGGTCCTGGGCACACAGGGCAGGTCAGGGGCAGCAGGAGGCCGACGGGGCCCAAGGCCTTCCCGGACCGCTCATACCTGCTGATACTTGGACACCGGGTAGAGCAGCCGTGTGTCCAGCTTGGCGTTGTACTGGGCCAGCGACTCATGGCGGTAGTGGGTGATGAGGTCCACCACGGAGCCGAAGGCCAGCGGCTCCGAGAAGCCGTAGTGGCCATCGCGGTGGAAGACCTTGATGAGCTTGTTGCCGCCACCCTTCCTGGGGGGACAGGGGGAGGTCAGCGGCCCGCATGGGGGGGAAGGGGGGTGAGGTCGGCGGCCCTGCCCGGTCCGCACCTCAGTGTGAGCGTGTACTCGCCGTGGATCTTGCTGGACGCGTCCCGTACTAGGAACGTACCGTCGGGCGTGTCCCGGAGCTTCTCATTCACCTCCTCCCTGGGGGACACAGGGTGAGGCCGGGCACCCCGCCCCCCGAGCCGCCCGGGCCCCCGCGACCGCCTACCTGGAGATGTCGCCCCAATACCACTCGGCGTCCTGCAGCGAGGCTGGGCCGCCCCCGTTGGCCAGGCCCGCGGGCCCGGGCTTCGCCTTGGCCGGCTTGGGCGGCAGCGCTGGGCAGGGGAGGGCACGGTGAGCTCCTGCGGCCCGGAGGCCGGCCCCCCTCCCCTCGGGCCGCGGAGTCACCTGGGGGCAAGGCCTCCCGCTCCTCCATGTGCTCCCGCAGCAGCGTCTCCACCAGCAGCGCGGGGAAGTCAGGCCCAGGCTGGCTCCTGGGGGGAGGCGGGGAAGCCGGGAGGCGGGGCCTCAGCCGGGGCGTGGCGGGAGAGGGGACGCCCCCGGGAGGAGGGGCTCCGCCCCGCCCACACAAGCCCCATCTTCCCTTTTCCACAGGAAGGCTTCTCTCAGGCCCCGCCCGCACGAGGGTGACCCCGCCCCGCTTCCCTAGACCCCGATTCTTCCCCGGTCACGCCCCCAAACACTCACTAAACCACCAGCACCTCCCCTCCCATGGAGCCCCTGAACACGCCCCGCAAGCTCCGCCCACCTGACAGACCACGCCCACCCGCTCACGACCTTTTCTCCCCCTCAGGCACCACTTACTCAGGAGCTCCGCCCATCCTTCCCACCACCCTCTGCCGGTTCCTTTAGACGCCAGGCTGGCTTGGTTTCCCTCACAGTGGAATTCCTCCTAAACCTCAGCCCTCCGCCAAACCCCAGTCCCCGCAAAAAGGGGCCACAGAGCGCGCCCCGCCCACTCACGCTAACCCACACCCGCTCCTCCCGCCGGCCAGCTGCCCCGCCCACCCACGCTAACCCACACCCGCTGCCCCGCCCACTGCCCCGAGGCCCCGCCCACTCACGCTAACCCACACCGGCTCCTCCCGCCGGCCAGCTGCCCCGCCCACCCACGCTAACCCACACCCGCTCCTCCCGCCCGCCCGCTGCCCCGCCCACTCACGCTAACCCACACCCGCTCCTCCCGCCCGC